CGCCCCGCCCGCCCCCCGGCCCGCCCCGCCCCTTGGCCGCTACGGCTCCACAGGCTGACCCCGAGCCGGCCACGCTGGTGCTGTGCTCACTTTGCACTCCCCACCCGGCTCACCTCTCTGAGGACGTCCGTCTAGGGGGGCACCGCGGTCCTGACCCGATGAGGGTGGAAGGTCCGACCGCTGTCTCTGCTTCTGTTCGTGTCAGTGTGTCTGCATGCACACGGGCACTGGCCCTCCTGGGGAATCTCGGGTGCCACTCAGTGGGTCCGCCGTGTGTCCACCTGGAGTCTGTTCTCTGCGGCAGGGACAGGCAGACACCCGGAGCGCAGATGGGGTGGTGCTGTCCACGGGCCTTCCAGGCCGTTGGGATCCTGAGCTTTGGGGTTCATTTCAGCTCTATTGGTACACATGGGTCGTAGTCTCTGGGACGAGGTAATTCTCTCTCTGCTCTTGTCCCCGGGATGAACTGAAGGTGTGACCCTTCCGTTCTGTAGTGACTAGTACCTCGTTGGCTCTGCAGAGCATTTCCCCCCACCCCCGGCCTCTCTCTATGTGGGAAACGGACCATGGGCTCTGTGGTCAGAGCAGTGTGGGCCGCCAGGCTGGGAGTGGTGCCGATGGGGCCCTGCACTCCCCTGGAGTGGGAGCAAGGAAGTGCCTGGAAGGGCAAGCCCCTCCTGGGGGACAGGCCTCACCTGCCTCCTGTTCTCCCTGTGGACCATGGGGTGGGCAGTAGCCCTTGGGTGGAACCAGACTCCTGCAAGCTTCGAGGTCCTTGTCCTGGCAGGCCTGGCTGCTGTTCCTAGGCCTCCGCCACACCCATAGTACAGAAAGAGCCTCAGGAGGCCACCGGGTCATACCAACCAGCCGGGGCCACCAACCGTATGGAAAAACGGAGCCCTCGGTCTTTTCTTGGTGAACAGCTGTTCCAGGCAGGAACTCTCTCGGTCCCACGCAGGCCAGCAGAGTCCACTGTCTGAGTTTGCCGCACAGGCACAGAGGGGGTGGCACCGGGGACACCTTTGTGTTGGCACGAACCGAGCGCATGCCGTGTCCCGGGAAGCTCTCCTGATAATGGGGACGCCCAGCTGTGAACACTGACGAGCCTCTCGTCCTGGTCTCCCAGCAACTGGGCGGCTCGGGGACTATTTCACGAGGAGCCAGAGCGAGTGGAAGAGAGTGACGCCGCAGGAAGACGTGGACTGGAGGGGGAGTGTGGGGTGCCTGGAGCTGGCAGTCCCTGGGAGATGGCCTTGGTGCCAGAGAGGCCAGCGGGGAGCCGGATGGCACGCTCCGCCCAGGCTGGGCTGGCACACGTGCCGCACCTCCGCGGAGTACAGGCGCTGTTCCTAACTGAGCAAGGGCAGTGGCAGCCGTGCTGAGGTGCCCTCAAAACATCCTCTCCGGCACACAAGAGTTTTCCCTGCGTATCAGCAAGTCGGGTGGGGGAGAGTTAAGGAAGCAGAGACGAGGCAGTCAGGAGGAGGGGGCTGGGGTGGAGGCCCGGCAGCAGGAGGTCGTCGTCAGTGGCTGTCACCTTGGCCCGTGGGTAGGGGTCTGCTCTCCCCTGTCTGCATTGGGGTCAGTCTTGGTAGCTGCTCCCTGGGTGTGAGCCCAGATGTTCCAGCTCAGCAGTCCCCTGGCCAAGGCTCTGGCCCCGACTGGGTCCTGAGACGCCGGCAGGAGAGCGTCTCTTCAGGCAGGCGTGCCCGAGGGCTGACCCCAGCCAGGAGTGCCTGGAAGGAGGCAGTGGACCCCCGCTGGGCTGCGGTGCCTCCCCAGGCCTCATGGCAGTGACTGATCTGGAGTCATACCGATAGTCATAACCAGGGCAGGGACACCATGGCATCTAGTAGAGGCCAGAGTGGCTGCTGACCATCCTGCGATGCCAGGTCAGCCCCCATGGCGAAGAAGGGCCAGCCCAGAATGTCGAGGGCACTGGAGAGCACTGGTCCTGGAGACCCCGAGTGACTCTGTTAGCGGCTCATTTACATTTGTATTTATTTTTTAACTAAAATACACATTTGACTTGCTATTAGCTGTGTTCTTAGATCCAGAGGGACATGCCGTCTGGTGTCTGGGAGCAGAGAGGGAGAGGCGGCATGGCCTGCAGGGTCAGTGCTGGTCCTGGGAGGGCAGGCCGTTCCTGGTCCACAGGGGTTTCTGTGGGACCTCCCGATGGGGTGGATGCCTGAGAGTGCCTGTCACCCGGGAGCACCTCGGCAAGGCTTCTCATGCACGCGTGGACCGGCAAGCCTGTGTGATGGCGCTGTCTCGGCCTTTGTCTCTGAGTGGTCGGTGGCCGCTGCGGTCCTTAGCCCACCCTCCCTCGCCCTCCTCCCCTGCCCCGCTCGCCTACTGCCTGTAAGAGATGGCGACCCTCCAGCCGGGCTGTGGCCGGGCTGTTCTCTTAACACGGGGACACGATCTGCTTGGAGCGTGTGGGGCTTCCACGCGGTGTTAGCGTTCGTTTCCGTTTGTCTCCCGGTCCTCTCTCACCGGCCGGTCAGCCCCCACCCCTCCCGTGATGTGCGGCCCGTGGTCGCTCTCAGCGTTCCTCTGCCTCGCGTGCCGTGGGGCTCGGGTGGCGCAGACCTGGTCCACGTCGCGGAGTGGAGCCGTCGCCTTTGTGAGTGTGTCACTGCTGAAGTGCTCCCGGTCTGGGAGAGGGCAGGCAGGGCAGAGGAAAGGGACGGGGTGTCCTGGGAGAGAGCAGGGCCGTGGGGCCCCCAGGGCTTGCTCGGAAGGAGAGCGGAGTGGGCCAAGGCTCTCCCTGCCTGGCTGGGGGTGGGGGCATCTGGAGGTCACAGTGTGCGGGGGTGGGGCGACCCGGTGACGCGGGGACTCGCGCCTGGACAGGCTGTCAGGTCTAGTCCAGCTCGGGCTGACCCTGGCCTTACTGGACAGCTCTGAGATGGGACTAACTTTCGGGAATCTCTTTTCCTTTTTTGGGAAATTTCTTTCTCGATACACCCACATACCCCGTAACTGGTGGGTGTGGAGGAGAGGCAGATTTCCCAAAAAAGGCAAAGAACTTTCCCAAATGCAGCTGAGGTGAGGTGGGCTCAGGGCAGCCTTGGCAGCCGAGCGGAAGCCCGGAGAACTCGGCCAGGCCTGGTTTTCAGGAGGGGACGGAGCGACAGGTCTGGAGACCCGAACCGCCGCCTCTCCTCTGCCCTGTAAAATGCTGCCGGGATTTCCCCACGTCCTGCCGCTTTCCTTGGAACTACCCGTGTAAAGCGAGAGTGCTGGTGTCCTCAGGGCGGATGTCACTAGAAGGCTCTCCGGGAGGAGCGCCAGGTGCAGAGGGGAAGCAGAGTTAGGGTGAAGCGGGCAGGCCACCCCAGGCTCAGGTGGGCCTGCTCTCTTCTCTCTCTCTCCTGGAGTCAGGCAGAAAGATGTCCAGTTTTGTTTTGTTTTGCTTTTTGAGAGGTTTTTGCTATAAGGTATGTGCTCGCCAGAAAGACAGAGACAGAGAGACAGAAAGCGAGAAATCACCTCCTAGGGGGATGGCCACGCCGCAATCCCTTCTCCTCCATTCTCCTCTCGGGATCTTGGGCACACATGCACACGCGCCCGGCGTGAGTTTAAGCCACCGGGTCCAGGACTCGAACTGTGGTTGACTATATGGGAGTCCAGCGACATAGCCATTATGCCAACTGCTGGTCCCTAGTTTGGGTTTTAATTGTGGTAAATGCACAGTCCACAACATCAAGACATTTACCATCCTGACACTTTCTTTTTGTTTTTGTTTTTCCTATAGGGCACGTGCACGTGCCAGAGGGAGACAGTGAGAGAGGGGGAGAAATCACTCCCCAGGGTTTGGCCACACCAATCCCTTCTCCATTCTCTTGGGATTCTGGGCACACATGCACATGGACTGGTGTGTTTTTAAGCTGCCCGGTCTGGGACTTGAACCGCACAGTCAGCCATGTGGGAGTCTAGCACCTTAACCACTGGCTGGCCCATCTTGATCTTCTCTGAGTGCCCAGTTGCACGGCATTGCATGTCCTCA